TCCAGACATTAAAGACACAAGGTCAGGAAGGGATGGCAGAAGTCGCCGAGATATGGAAAATGGCACTGCTGAAAATATGCAACTAGAATCAACACGTTTAGGCCAAACGTTAACTCGACGAGAGGATAAACTGCCAGTAAACTGACCCTTATATTTGTTTTTGTCATAGCAATGAATTGGACGCGTATGATAATACGATGCAATGTGATTGTTTTTAATGTGTTTTCTGACAATGTTTATAATTTGAGACTTTGATATTTGATCAAAGGAGTGTCTAAACAGACAGGAACATATTGAGTGAGAACTAGTAGTACAAGAATACAGCACCGTAGAAGTAAAATATTGGATTTAAAGAAACGTTATACATAATTACTATGTGAACGCTGTAGGGTGTACAGCTTTGGTGTGCTGTACACCTATCAACCATTTCCAAACGACTATTTACATCGTTATCTATATTGATCGAGTACAAAACAAAGAGACGCGGAGTTACATGACCGCACATCCTTCATCTTTGACGCGATAATTGTGAGAAATGACATTTATTAATTGTCTTTCGACTAGAGACTCGGGGTACCAGGTACAAGTAAAGTAACTGTTTAAGTTACTGCTTTGACTTGTTAAGGATCATTCATCAACGTGCTTTGTGCCAAATCCTCCTCTCTTCATTCAGAGTGCTTCATTAATTATATATTCTACGTCAGACTAAAAGTAAACATTCCAGTCAGTCTTAATAATCAATAATCAATACACTAATTATCGGGATGAATAGAACAAATACTCTATAAAGCGGTGCCAGGATTTGACCGGTCAGTCGTGACGTTACTTCAGAGGATCAGAACAGCTTCACTAGGGTGTACTACCCCAGTCTGGAGATATATCAATACGGCACATCAGGGTTCGGTGTGCCAGGCTTTAAGTACTAGTAGTAAACATAGACACAGTCATGAAGGGGAGCGTTATATCTTTGGATGTGTGACATGGACACAAATAATACCTAAACAGAAAATATCATTTCAACACCTGCTTGGGATTTAAACATGAAAACGATTGAAAAGAGGAAACCTATCTATAAGTGATTCTATCGTCACAATGATATATATTCCTTTGTTGACTTGTATTTTTACGCTGTATATTTGTAGATGATTTAAAGGCGTACAAACGGGACTCCGGTCAAACGGTACCAACTTATCACACCTTGTCGGAAGAAAAATGACATTTTTTCTATACAAATAGACGTCAGTGTATACAGCACAAAGGAATCTAATATACCCCTTCAATGAACCCATGTGTATTCCTACACAGACAGCCTTCCGTGTATTATGGTACGTTAACAAGTTCGCTACACGGTGTCGACATATCTTGTTGATACAATGAATTAAAATATTTATTGTGCAAAAGGATCGCAAACTTTGTACAGCGGCTTTTCTCTCAAGACGTTTGCCACGTACTTAACAGACGTGCAGAGAGGAAACGGAGATCTTATGTTCTGCATATCGATATCCCACAGTACAATCGATGAGAGTGTGTTGTGTGTTCACCAGCATATTACCTTCTCGGAAAGCAGCGCCTGAGAGGGACTAAAAGACACGACGGGAAAAATACGTTATGATCTAAGTTACCAAGACGTTTAGTTAACTTTACGAGATGCTAGTCCCGTCTAAGAACACTAATGCTATTAACGTCATAGTGTTGACGTTACTGGTCGTGACGTCATTAGTTCGAGGTTCGTCGCTAACCGACGTCACAAAACTGCAGTCTGATCTTCTTAATGGCTACAACAAGTACGTTCGACCTGCTGACGACACTTATCAACCAGTCTATGTAAATTTCACATTTTTTCTCGTTGGAATTAGGGATTTCGATGAAGTGACTGGAAAATTTGCCGTGACTGCTTTTATGTCTGTGACCTGGAGTGACAGTCGTATGACATGGGATCCCACGGCATACAACTACACGTACTATCTTCCTTTTGCTGGGAACCAAGTTTGGAAACCAAATATCATCCTGATAAACCCATTTAATTCCGTAAGCAAGGTTGGGGAGGACTTCATGGAGATTCGATACCTGTTCAATGGTGGAGCTTCCTGGTCCCCCGGTGACGTGATGAGTAGCGCGTGCGAAATAGATGTCACCTACTACCCTTTTGACAAACAGATATGCATTTTGCAAATGATGCCATGGGGGGCCCCAAGCTCGGAAATTTTATTTATTTCTTCCGCCGAAAAGGCCGACCTGTCGTTCTATGCGGCCCATGGTACTTGGGATTTGGTATCAACTAAAACTAAATCGACTAATCATGATGGTTTGTCATCTTACATAGTGGAAATAACAATGAAAAGACGACCTTTGTTTTTCGTTGTGAACGTCGTATTACCTATCCTGTTCATGGCCTTTCTAAATTCCCTTGTCTTCATACTACCAGTTGAGAGTGGCGAACGGGTGTCTTACGCTATCACTGTCTTGCTTGCAATAGCGGTTTTCTTGACGCTTGTCGGCGATAACTTACCCAAAACATCTGAGCCAATGTCGGTTCTCTGCTACTTCCTCCTAGCTGACCTAATAATGAGTTCCGTCGTTTCAATAATCACGATTATTGGATTACGCATTTATTATATAAACGACCGACCGGTCCCGGGCTGGCTTTCTCACATGGTCGTCTGTCTCAGCTGCGGATCGAACCGGAAACGGAAATTGACGGAACGTGTTACGCCGTCACCAGATACAGTGTCACCTCCTCATTTCAAGTTTGATGGCGTAGAGGAAAACAATTTACCTCAAAGCAGAAAAATTGCTACTGGGAGGAGCCAAATCACAACAGTGATGAATGTGAAGTCTAGGTTGCATTCAGATATTAGTATATTTGATGAAAAACCGGAAGTGGATCCGTTGCCAGTCGAAGACGGACCAACTGTGACCTGGCACCACGTCAACCACGCCCTCGACAAGGTCTCATTTGTAGGTTGTTTAGTCTGGATGACTGTGGTGTGCCTTGCATTTTTCGTCACTGTTGCGAACATGTAACAGCAGTTACCGGGGTGTGTGTTTACCGGAAATGAACTGTACCGAAGGAAACCATCCGAAATGTAATAAGTACTGAAGTCCGCAGTGTAAACATTTTAACATTGAGAAATATTGATTTTAATCCGGACATTGGCTCCAGATATTTTATTTATACATGCGTTAAACGTGTGTTCTAATGAAGGTCAATTAATGTGACCAATATTGCCCGATATATCAAATAAATACATATCGTTGACGGATAAACAATGTAGTCAGGCACACAGTAAATATGATCACTGTTGACTGATATATAGTATATGTGATCACTGTT